ATGTTCTCTCATTTGGTTATCCCAACAAGCTTGAGAGGTAGGTGCTATTATTATCCTTGTTTTTTAGTTGAGGAAACTGAGTCTGAGAGAGAGTAAGGGACTCGCTCAGGTTCACATATCTAGTAAATATCTGAGGCAGGATTTGAACTCAAGTCTTCCTGGCTGTAGGCCCAGTGCTCTATCTGCTGAGCATTAGCTATCATTATTATTATTATATCTTGCTAAAAAAAAAAATGAACTCCTTTTAGGCCAAGGAATTTTTTTTTGCCTTTGTATCCTAGCTTTGCACTAAAAACTACTTAATTAATGTTTTTTAATTGATCAAATCAATACTTCCATTGCTACCAAAAAGAGCATGACAATCTACTCCTCTATGGCTCTGTGGACCTTACCTATAATTTTTACAAACCAGAATATCCCTCTATAGCCCTGACTTCTCTTTATTTATTGCCTCTCTCTATTAGAAGGTGAACTTCTTGAGGGCAGGAACTAATTGCCTTTGCTTCTATATTTGAATCCCCAGTTGTATACACTGAATTTGTAAGTTTGGACTTTGGTCCCTAATTTGTCCCTATAGTTGGCTACGAAGCACGTTATAATGATCTCATGAGATCTCTCAGCTTCTATTTCTTTGTTATTTGCTCTCCTTCCCTCCTCCTCCTCTCCTTCCCTTCCCGTCTCTTCCCTTCTCATAGAGGAGAGATCTGGCTAGAAGCAATACTTCCCCTACTGAATCATTCTGTTTAGGATCACAGACTGGGAAGGGGTCCTTAGAGGTCAGTTACAATTATTCCTTCCAATTGTGGAGGCGCTAAGCCCCTAACCTCCGGTTAGGTTTTTTTGGCTCTCCCTTTATACAAGAAAAGAAGTCTGACTTATTATGATATTAATTATGTTATTATGATGATATTATACAATACTATACATTCAACATATGCTTCCTGGATGGATAGTTACAAAGTTGTTCTGAGAATCAAATGAGATTGTAAACAAAGTGCTTTGCAAATCTTAAATGTTAGCTATTGTTATTATTGTTGTTCTTTGGCTCCTATGGTATAAAACATGTTGATATTATACAATACTGTACATCTATTTTATGCATTTCTGAGTTTCTAAACCTTTTCTGTGTCATCTTCTGGCCTTCATGTGTCATCTGTGGCTTCCCCAAAACTCCCCCCAAATTCCTATTTAATTTCTTATGCCAACCCACTATATATCAAAACTGTGATGGGGAAAGTTGCAAGGTAGCATTCTATAACCTGTTGCATTAACCCCCTCTATCTGGGCTTCTTGTCTCCAAAGCAGATTATGGAAAATTTTATGTGAGCAGTCTGCTGTATGAGTGGGAGGGCCTGGGCCCCCAGTCCCAGGTAGCTGATGTAGCTGAATCTGTGAGGAAGTTGTGCCTTGCTCAGGCCACAAGTTTTGAGGTAAGCTGATTTTTGTAGCCTTCTCCTGGAGTCTTCTACGGGTCATATAGGGGTGGGAGTGTGCTGGCAAATATTTAACAGTCAGCTCCTCAGAAAAACGTATATATGACATTTATATCTACGTTATTTAATTTTTCTTTGTTATTTAATTTAATATTTAACTTAATTTTCTTCATTATTTAATTTAATCTGCATTATTAACATGTTCTCCCTCACTTCCTTAAGTCTGTTGTTGTTCAGTTGTTTTCAGTTGTGTCTGACTCTTCCTGAGTCCATTTGGGATTTTCTTGGCCAAGATACTGGAGTGGTTTGCCACATACTTCTCCAGGTCATTTTACAGATGAGAAAACAGGCAAACAGGGTTAAATGACTTGCCCAGATCAGGCAGCTAGTAAATGTCTGAGGCCAGATTTGAACTTAGGAAGAGGAAGATTCCTGATGCCAGGCCTGGCGCTCTATCCACTGTATTACCTAGCTGCCCTTCTTGAGTCTAGAACCTGACTCTAGATAATCAAAAATACAATAAAGCAAGCCCTGATTTGTAGCATTTGCTGATTTCTAGGGTATAAATGCTCACATGGAAAATTTAGTAATTGGCTTTCTTGAACTGTTTCAGCTGGTACAGCACACTTGATTAGGGGTAAAGGTGTGAGACCCCTTGAGATTGATATAAAGGGAAGTCCTCTGGAGCCTACAAAGAAGGTGAAGTTGGTGACCAAATCCCCAGACTCCAAATTTTCCAAGTTTGGGCTAGCAGCAGGGAGCATGAAGTCTGAAAGGGAAACTGGAAGACGCTAGAGCTGCTTAGGAATCCTGTATGTAGCTCAGTCCTGACCACAGCTTTGAGGATTTCCCTCTACCCACCTCAGAAACACATGGCCCTAATTTCCCTTCTCGCTCCCACATGTGTAGAGTGAAGAAGGGAGAACTCAGAGCAGGATGCACTATGGAATTATAGCGATCCTAGAGTGTTTGGAAGAGTTGGTGACATTCAACATATGCTTCCTGGATGGATAGTTACAAAGTTGTTCTGAGAATCAAATGAGATTGTAAACAAAGTGCTTTGCAAATCTTAAATGTTAGCTATTGTTATTATTGTTGTTCTTTGGCTCCTAGCAATCCATCCTCTGTGAGCCAGAAGGACCCAACAGGATCTCCTTCTCTCCCATTTTGAATGACCAGCTGCAGAGATAAAGGTTTAGTAGCCTTTTAAGAGGAAAAGGAGAAATTCTAAAAGTTGGCTAAGGAATCATAACACACTCAGTGTTTTTTCTCTCCAGCTGTATGTCTTCAACTCCTGTCTAAAGGAAAGTGGTCCATATTAAAAGAACTTCGCAAATCTGTTCTGTGATAACAAAGCCCAGCTTTTTAATGGCAGGATTCTTATGGTGATGCTACTGTGAGTCATTTTCAATTGTGTCTGGCTCTTCTTGACCCCGTTTGGGGTTTTCTTGGCAAAGATACTGGAGTGGTTTGCCATTTCCTCCTCCAGTTCATTTTACAGATGAAGAAACTTAGGCAAACAGGGTTAAGTGATTTGCCCAGGATCACACAGCTAGGAAGTGTCTGAAACTGTATTTGAACTTGGGAAGTTGAGTCTTCCTGATTCCAAGCCCAATGTTCTGTCCACTGTGTGACTTAGCTGTCCCTGATGCTATTATATTTAGCCACAAATTTAAATAATAAATATGTAAACACTATATAAATAATAACAATAGTGGCTATTAATAATTTGTATGGTACTTTAAGGTTCTCAGAGTATTATATAAATATATCATTTAATCCTCCTAACAATTCTAGGAGGCAGATGCTATTTGTCCAGTCATTTCAGTCACACCCAGCTCTTCATGACCCCATTGCCATTATTATCCCCGATTTAAAGATGAAGAAACTAAGGTTGACTGAGGTTAAGTGACTTGCCCAGGGTTAAACAGCTAGGGGGTAACTGAGGTTGAATTTGAACTTGGGTCTTTCTGCCTCCAGGCCCAATACTCTTTCCACTGTGTTACCCAGCTGCCGATCTTCTTTATTATCCACTAAGATGGGACACCATGTGTGTCTTGGGCCTTACGTTCCATAATAGCATCTCTGGCATATTGTGTTATTATAGACTTTGGGGTGTCATGCAAATAAACATATGTGTTCTTGAAAGAGTAAAGTGTCAGGCACTTTTGGATCTAGAAAACTAGGCAGAACCCTAAGTGAAACTGGAAAAGTCACTTCATCTCCCTCAGTTTCAACTTAGACATCTGCAAAGGAGAGGCAGCATGACAGAGGATCTAGAATGCTGGATTTGGCATCAAGAAGGCCTGGGTTAAAATCCCACCTCAGACTAACAGTTTGACCCTGATCAAGTCCCTGTGCCTCTGTTTCCTCATCTGTACAATGAGGTCCTATGGGGATAATGATACCTGCCCTGTTCACCTCCCAGATGCATTCTGTGACTCAAAAGAGATGATCTAAGTAAAGGTGAACTGAGTAACCATAAAATGTCATCTCTGTTGTTAGAGAGCCCGTATAGCAGAGTGGTTAGAGGACTGATTTACAGCCAGGAAACCTAAATTCAAGTCCTTCACCTCCTTACTGGCTCAAGTCTCTTATCAACTTCAGTTTTCTCACCTGTAGAATGGGAATAAGCATAATGGCAGCCCTTATACGTGTTGGGAGGAGAAGGTGAGCTACTGTGTGTGGGTGTGTGTGTGTGTGTGTGAGACAGAGAGACAGAGAGAGGGAGAGGGAGAGAGAGAAAAACTGCTTTAGGAGCAAACCTACGAGTGAAATCTGAATGTTGGTTATAGTTACTACATGAATTCTTTTTGCCACAAATGGTCATTCATGGTGCTGTGTGCACTTTCCCGTGCAAAACCTGGAGCGTGTAGGGCAGAGAAAGGGGCTCTGTACTCCCTTTCTGAGCCAACACATCTGCTTGAGAGAGTTCAAACACACATCTGTTTATTTATTCTTGACCCATCAAGTTTCCAAAATAAATACCTGCTTGACTCATTGCTTTCAGGGGGCCACGGGGCTTCAGAGAGCACAGTGTAGTTGAAATGAGCTGAAGCATTCTGGGATTCTGGGACTGCCCATTTGGGGCTCCAAAGGCTATGTTCATTTCCTCCAGGCAGCTCCCTGGACAGGAGCCTCATTTCATACATAGGAGCAGAGGAGGGGTTTGGATGGAATGTTTGTTCCTCTGTCCCATCAAGCCTGTGGCGTGGGCCCTCCTCCCAGAGTACCCAGCTCCCTCCTCCCAGAGTGCCCAGCCCCTTCTCCAGCTTGTGGATCAAAATGAAACGCCTGAGCCTACGCTACTATTACATTGATGGCTTCTGAAAGCAAACTTGACCTCCAGAGTCTCCTCCCCTACCTTCCCCCCAAGAAACCAAACTGGATTAAGGGAAAAGAGCAAGAGGCTGGGAGACAAAAGTTCTGAGGCTTGGTCCTGGCTCTACCATTAACTTGCTGTGTGATTGGAGGTTCACAGATCTGAAGACACCTATCCCAAACACCTCATTTTACAGATAAGGGAACTGAGGCCTACGGACAGTAGATGACTTGACCAAGGTCATAGAGGTACTAACTGGCAGAGGTGAGAAATGAACCCAGGTCCTCTGACCAGAAAACTAGTACAAGGTCATCATCATTATCTCTCTGGGCCTGAATTTTTCCCATCTGAGAGATGAAGGAGGTTGAACTGTCTTTTGAGCCTATAATTTTTTGGATCCATGAATTGGACTTTTTATTTTGGGGTGGAGGTTTCACGCCTACAATTTCATTGGTTGGAAACTCCCAGTGAGGAGACCCTCTCTACCAATGCATTTTAGCAACTACTTTTTCTTATATAATTTTCTACTGTCCAGAGCAACTGAAGCAGGACTTAAGCCCAGGCCTTTGGCCTCCAAGACCAGCTCTTTATAAACTACCATTCCATGTATCCTCTAAGGGTGATATGGTGGTGGTTGTTCAGTTATTTTTCAGTCATATCCAACTCTTTGTGACTCTTTTTGGGGTTTTCTTGGCAAAGATACTGCAGTGGTTTGACCTTTCCTTCTCCAGCTCATTTTACAGATGAGGAAAACTGAGACAAACAGGGTTAAGTGACTTCCCCTGGGTCCCATAGGTAGGAAGTGTCTGAGGCCAGATTTAAACTCAGGAAGATGAGTCTTTCTGACTCCAGCTCCAGGACTCTATCCATTGTGCCACCTAGCTGCCTAAATCACATGGTTAGCCATATGTATTCATTTCCCTGGTAAAACAAAACAAAACAAAACAAAACTGGATGATATAAATGTGTCTAAACTCAAGACACTCAGCATCATCAAGTGTGGATACAATTTTAAAGGTGTCCTTGACTTTGAAAACTAGTGACATGGGCTGGCTGATACTCAAGGTAAACTGATTCTTTTGTAGTGATAGAAGAGCAAGTATTGTGAGGACATGGGTCAGTGGAAGGAAGCAAAGGGAGGATGATATGACTTTGGATTCTGAAGCTTGGAGCATTTCCAGCCCAGAGCTCTGGCAATGCTCCCTGTCTGCTGGACAGCCTGTGGTTACTGCTGTCCCCCCAAGGAGAATGCCATTATCCTAAGAACAAAGCCAAGCCACCACTCTAGCTGCAGGAAGGGGGGAGCTAGTGGAGTCATTGTTATGGATGAGATAACAAAGATCGTTTGCATAAAATGTGGCAGCTAATCCTGAGAGCCACCAAGAATCTGGGAGCTGATGGCAAACTTTTAGCTTCTTAGAATCCTAGATCAGAAAAATTACCTTTGCTAGTCTACTAGTCCAGCCTACCTTCTTGCTCAGATTTGATCCAAATTTCCCACAAATTTCCCAACGATTAGAAATGAAATGAGCTGTCTTGGGAAGTAGTGGGTTCCCTCATTGGAGGTTCTTGAGCAAAGGCTAACAGGCCACTTGTCAGGAATTTTTGTTATGTATAATTTAAACTAAAATAATTCTGAGGTCTCCACTGACTGGCATTCTGTGATCCAGGAGAG